GATATTCAAAACCACAAAATACTTGTAATAATGTATAAAGCCTGTCTAAACTTGCACCGGGAAAAAAATATTTTACAACGGTGGGTTTTATATTTTAAACACAATTGTGACTCCATCTCCCAGCATTGCGGACTGAATTTCGTGATTACTACTTCGTTAACCTCAAAAGTCTCATCCTTGCTTCGGTCAGAAGGTTGAAGCTTTTAAGCTTATCAGCGCCTGAAGATGAAATATACACCGGAAGTTGTCTCCCTTATGGACAGTAATTGCACAATTGGTCTCAAATTAGGGCGTGGAACTGAGCTGAAAATATCGTCGGAGATACTCATGCACCCAGGCTTTCAAGAGCTCAGTAAGTTGGTGAAGGACTGCAATTGTCGCATTGGCATGGATGGACCCCGAGTTCTAATAGATTCATTGGCGAACGATGAGTTTCTTGCCTTCCAGCTGCGCGTTCAAAGTTCCAGCTTTATCATTGAGCACAACGATTTGTATGACGGTAAACATTACTTTGTGGTGCTTAATTCGCAGGAGCCGTTCCCGGTTCGAGAATAGTCAACTTTGATTGCAGTTAAAATTATAACTATGCTGCTTTTCATTCAGAGGAACCTTTTGGAACTTCTTGAACGGGGTTAATTTAGGGGCACATATTGATGGTCGAAATACCTCCGGCATCAGTCGAATCTTCAGTAAGCCCTCATTTCTTGGAGCTCCTAATGAAGGATGGCGGCATTTCCCAAAGGGGAGGCGCCATTTTGTCCATTTAGAAGAACAATTAACGTGGCTCTGCAAGATTGCTTGTATAGTCGCAAAGCCAGGTGTCCTAAGTGGAATAAACGCATTGTTTGGAGTATCATTTTAGAAAGTCTTGTAAAAGCGATTAAGGCTATATTTTGGGTGGAGTCTAATATCCAAAAGTACTTTTTATTGTCTCTTGTCCTGATAGGCTAGCGAGAGGGAAGACGGATGCACTAACACATCTACGTAATTGTATTTTAGCTTTCAAAGAGCACTTGGATGACCGTACAGACAGAAATATATGTGACCAAACAAATGAAATTAAATGAGTGGTATTGAATACTCTGCCTTCAAACCCTGCGTTTAAAAAGGTAGGACCTAGGAGCACCTCATTTGGACTAACCACACAATGCCGGCATTTAAACGCACCCAAACGTCAACCACTTCACTCAAAAGTGATGATAGAATTTTAAAAAAGAGAATGGAAACCGCAATTACTTAATCGAGTATTTCGCCTAACTTTTGTAAAGCTTGGAGTCTATGAAAAGGAAAACTGAGCCTGTCTGTAAAGCAGAGCTACGGCTGACTGATTTATTTTAAAAAATTCCGACAAACGCACTTATAGAGTATGAAAACGAGCAAAAGAGAGTAGAGTGTAGACGTTAAAGCTTGAGGTAGTAGCGATTTTATGAAACTAGCTATTCCCTACTTGAAAGAGGCCTTTAAGAGGAGTGATGTGCATAGTGCAAGTGGAAGACATTTCATTTTTCAAGGGTCGCATACAGATAAACAGGTTAAGAGTAAAACACCGTCCATTTCTGATCTTTCGTCTGCTTGTAGACCGGAAATTGAAAGGCCTAAACGCGTTCCGGTCGGACTGTATTTGTACGAGACGCAACATCGCAAAGAGCACCTCGTATTAGAAATGGGGCGTCTATTTGAAGGAAATTCCTATCTAATTCAGAGCTGATGATAAAGATGAGTTTCGACTTTAGAAAATAGTAATTTGCGTCAAATCTCTCCGCTTCTTTCTTTTTTGATATGCATGTTCAGTAAAGAAGGAAAGGGCTGGAAGCTTTATTGTGTTACGAGTTGT